CACCAGTGAGGATTGTTGCAGCACTTTATTGGCCATTCAAGAGTACAGAGCTGAGAACTGCGCTCCTTTCAAATTGCACAGCGCACTGAGGATTCGGCCCTCTCCTGACTTCGTCTCTGGCCAGGCTGCCGGCCCCGGCCGGACCTTGCCACAGATGCGCCATATTCCCGCATGCGAAGCGAATTGCATAAACTTTGGAAACATTGCGGAAAACCCACAATACTCTCCGGCTACTCTCCAGCTGCTCTCCAGCCGAACTCGGCTCCAAGCATAAGCCTGCAGAAGCCTGCAGACCGCAGATGGCAGTTGAGGGCTTCCCGCTCATGACGGCGAGGGCCAGTGGGAGTGAAAGTCGGTGTTAAGCCTCAAGGCCCTCCAGTTGTTCTAGAGTTCACGAGATTCTTTTGTTTAAGTGCATTGACATGCGTGCTGTTCGTGCTGGCACTGAGTGAAGCACGTCCTCTGCAGCGGTTTTGTTTGCCAATTCGATCGTGTCTTCTACCCGCGACCGCTTGCTTTCCATGCGCTCACACTATGTCGTCGCGCTGTGGATATGGCTCAGGACCCTTGATCCATTTCCGCAGCAGCCGGGCAGATTGCAAATATTGCAGGAATCTTACTGCAGCATGAAACTTGGTCGTGCCTGCCACGTTGCTCTCAACACCATCTAGCCTTGGGGGTAGTAGTGATTGAACCATCAGAGGAACCACCGGTCACAGGAACAGTTCGGACTATCGGACCTGGCGGGGCTTTAAACTCGACACTTCGAGGGCCCGGCTCGAGAAGCAACTGGTTCAGCGTCTGGGCGTATTCCTGTGAAATGTCAGGTGTTGCGAAAGCTTGGGGCGGATTACTTGTCTAGAGGTTCATGGTGACACGCTGCAACAGACGTGTCGAGAAATGTCGAGCACAGCCTGGTTGCCACCACCGCCGGAGGCAGACATCTGTCTCGAAGAGCCTCTGGTATCTCTTGCAAAGCTGCAGAGGGAGGACGGGCCTGGGACTTGGGAGATCTTGGGAGGACCCGAGATCCCGACCCACAGCGTCGAGCTCATCCAAGAAGACGATGCAAGGCGCACATGCTCGAGCCTGGAAGCAGCTGGAAGCATGGACATGATCCAGACATGACGCTACCAACCGCATACATGCACCGAATACCACACGCGCGTTGCACATGCTGGGCACCTGCTCGAAAAACTGTCTGATCCGTTGTGCTCCTTGGCCGACCTCAAGATGTCCAGGTTGAGGGTCTCGGTATGCTGAACTATGTTGATGTCGTTTGCCATCACTGGACGTCAAGGGATGGAGCTCAACCGATACCGATTTCAGCATAACCGATGTTGGGAGGTCAATTAAGCCGCTTCTTTATCTCGGGATCTGGCAAAGATCTCGACGAAGGATGCTGAGCTGGCATAGAGGAAAGGAACCCCGGCCTGGAGCAGCTCTTACAAGCAAAGAAAACGTGCGTGAACATGAGGGCTGCATTGCCGGGCCATGCAACAACTGTTCTGCCCTCTCAGACCCTTTGGCACTTTCCAGGTAGGGCTGCACAAGCACGCAGCACTGCCGACTATACAGTGGGACACTTGTGCATGTCAGTTCGAGCCAGCGTGTGCTTGACCATACATATATCCATATACAAAGAAAGACACACATATATATATAAATATAATTGTGGTTTGCAAATATGTATATATATATATGTGTGGAGCTATATCATACTGTGGGCACTATTATCGGGGTGCTGTTTCTTTATTCTCGGTCGGCGACGGTTGTAATTTGCATTCTGCCAGTTGTTTTTTTTGGCCTTGGGCCCGCCATCCCAATCCGAGGGCTCGTCATTCTAGGATAAGCAGAAGAGCTCAGTTTCTGAGACCGTCGACCCTAACTGTCTGGGGAGATTAGGTTCAGCTTCTGCAACTCGACCCTAACAAACAGCCCCTTTTCCTAATTGCATTGGACGTTGGCGAATGGCTGGGAATGGTGGCGGGGCTGGTAGGTTGCTGGCAGGAATGGTGGGCGAAGGGGTACAAGTAGTGGTGGGAATGCTGGACAATGGTGGATGGTGGGTAATGGTGCAAGATGGAAACGGCGGGAGTGTATGGCGGGGAATGGCAGGGTGGGTAAGGGTGGGTGACAGTGGGAATTGCGCGTATTGGTTGGTGGTCAATGGGTACTGGGTATTGGTGTGACGGGATGGTGGGTATGGGGTTCGGAATTGTGGGGAATGGCGGGATTAGCGTGTAGATCTCAAGGTTAGGTTCATTCACGGTTTTCTAATTATGTTCACGCGCGCACAGTATTTATGACATGCTCATGTGCAATAAAAAATAACGATATTAGTAATACTAATAAAAATAATAATAATAATAATAATAATAATGATGATGATGATGATGTAATAGAATGTTGGGCAATACTGGGGCACAAAATAGTACGTCCTTTAAAGGTGCCCCTGTAAATTAAATAATAGTGTTCTGGCGAATGAACCGCGTTCACCGTTTCACTCCGTACCACTTCATTCTATTATTATTAGGAATTACGGGCCCTTTAAATAACTACTCTTCATGATGGGCAAGTTAATAGTAATATGAGGTGAGAAGATACGAATAAAATAAATTATGTCGCGCGCTGTCTTCATTCGTGCTAATTAGTGCCTTGACCAGCCCAGGAGAGAAAAAAATAAAAAATCTTCTGCATTTATGAGTAGAGACAGGCACTTCAACAATAAACAGTAAAGTAAGGCTTAACAACAGCAACGAAATAAGTACTAAAAAAAGAGACCTCAGAAGACCGGAGCAGAGGACTGAGAAAGGACCAAAGAAGCAGATAAGAGGACCAAGAGACCGACCAGAAGAGGGGATCAGGAAGGGACCCGGCGAGCAGAGGACCAGGCAAAAAGACCAAACGACCGGGAAACCGGTGTAAAACAAAAACAAGCCGCCTGCAAAAAAAAAAACACTTCCTCCTAGTTTTTGCCGCGAACTCCAGGAGACTCCTAGAAGCATGAAGCCAATAAGCCAACAAGAAGCAAACTGCATGGAAGTGCCTCACCGGCCACAGCACGAGCCATGAGCCTTGGTTCTGTAGATTTCAAGATATTCAGGACATGGACAAGAGAAGACAGCGACAACAGGCTTTAACAAGTTGGTCTCCCGGCGTTTTGCCAGTGCCACTTGGACCTGCCAAAAGAATGCCGCGAGGCGGACGTGCTCCTCGGCTCTGGCTGTGAAAGTGCTTCAGCATCTCGTGAGGGCATCTGTTCTGCTGATTCTGCTGATGCTAAGCCACCCAATGCGTAGAATCTGTTCGGGTCACCTGGCTTCGGTGCATGGCAGGGCAAACGGGACAGAAAAACCCAGCAGGGCCAACGCAAGTAGGCGATGACTTCCTGCCTTGGTATGGGGCAGCATTGGCAGCATCAATAGTTCAGGGCACAAGCTCTACGACCCCCTTGGAGAGGAAGTAAGCTGCAAGCAGCTCCTCTTTGGTAGTCTCCATGCCTCGGCAGCATCTGCAACACAGACCGAAAGTACATGTGGAAGGCAGAAGACGGCCAGATGCGGCCAGCTTATGGTCTGGCCTGCGACATCTTCAAAGGTCACCGCAGGCCGACGATTGAAGTCGCGGTTTTCCTGCTTGGACAGCTCAAAGGGCCCCAACCAGGCTGAACTGTGAAACTGTGAGCTGCATTCAGCCTCAAGATGCTTGGCAGCGAACGTCTGGCCATTGCTCCTGAACAAATACCTCGTCATTCTGCATTCTGCGGCCGTCGGCTTTGTGTTGTGTTCGGTAGCGTTGCATCTGTCAGTGTTGCATGCATTGGAAGGTCCCATTCGGTTCCCATTGTGCACCCACTGGCTCCCGCAAGGGCGCACCAGAGAGCACCCAAGGAAGCCACGAGCCCTCCGAGGTCAATAAGCAGAGAGAGCCTGCCCACAGTTTCGGGGTGCCAGTCTGCGGTGGCTCTGGCTCTCGCGCTGCCAGCGTTACTAGCACTGGTGGGCAGCTGAGCACAGATCTCGCCTGTTGATCTCGGTGTCCGAACCCGAAGGCATTTCGCGACACTCAAACTTCACGTCAGAGCGTGATCGGAGCTCCTGCACGGGTTTGTGATTCTGTGTTTCCCTCCAACATGGCAGGAAAGCTCCAGAGGCTCGCAGGTGCAGCTGCATGATGCCACAGGGCAGTTTTTGGTGCAGCCAGTCAGGTGCTCTTGTCATCATTGGCAGCGACTTTGTCCTTCCAAGCACTGGGGGTCCCAGCACATCTTTCAAGAGCATTCAATGACTTTTCAATGTGCATGCTATTGGGAGATTTGAGAACTGATCTGCTGGTGGCCGTCCTTCAGCTCTACGAACAGAGCTGATGCTTCACAAGTTTTCAGAAACGAAGGCGAAGATGTCTCCACAAGCGTATGGCCTGGAGACTAGTCAAGGCGATTGATTGACGTTCTTCGGAGAGGTCAACGCTCCCTGACACATCTGACACTCTGGGCCTTTCAAAAAGACCTTGCGTCCCTCAGCGCGATCCAGCGTGACCTTTCGTTTGGGGGCCCGTGCAAGCACTCGCCCCCCCAAGAAAGCTCCGATGCTTTCAAGGCACGACGCAGACCTCGGAATAGCTCGGAATGTCAGAGCGCCAGCGGCAACCCAATGTGCAATGCTGACGGAAGGCACAAAAAGCAATAGACGGCCAGGCCACCAATTGTGAAGGCAAGGGCGTCTTTGCCTAGCAGAGCTGTGTTCGAGCTACTTTTGGCCTGCATATGCCTGCATGATCAGTCGCAAGGTGCAAGATCCGTCAAAGATCCAGCACAATGCAGAAACCTGCAGAAATGCAGAGAATTGCCTTGTAGTCCACCTGCAGGGACCTTGAAATGATAACAGCATCTCATGCGACCCACGACATCACAGACGTCTAACACTCTTGCATGCCACCGCTGCGGGTCCATCCGGTGGGCACCCCTGGATTTTATTAGAAATGGTTGTACAGGACCTCCGCATTGCAATTTACAAGATATTCCAAGTCAAGGATCGCCGTGGCCACCCGTCCGCTGCGCCCCAGACTCCGTGTGTACGTGTTGGCAAAGGCTCCAAACCTAGCGACAGGACAAGCCAGGAACAAAGCCACTAGCCACGGCTTGGGCCAATTTTGAGGAGACGCCGCATGCATGAATTCAAAGCATGCTGTCATCAAGGGGCGCATCATCGATCAAGGCTGCCGAACAACCACCGTGACAAGAGCCTGCCCGCGAAACGTACAACACACAGTTCCGCACGACCTCCCTACTCCAATGACGCTACACGGAGGAGCCACACGGTAGTCACAAAGAAATCACAGTGCGCCTGGCGGTCCTTCTAGTGTTGTATCCAATGACCAGTGAACAAAGACTCTTTGAATCACATCCTCAGTCTTCGTGTGTTGCAAAGGCCAAACCGCCATAAGACAAAGCACCAGTGTGCACCTTGTCATCTGCCTGGGCCACCAGAGAGAAAAGCTGGAGCATTTATGATGGCTAAAGGTCCCCCGCACCTGGAAGTAGTAGATGGCTTGGCTCAAGCCTGGATACCCGAATCGAGAGCCCCCAAGCTTCCCTGACAATGTGCTGAGCAAGCAAAGCAGCTGAGCAGCTGAACCAGATGACTGAAGAGTTCCATGAAGAAAATGCAGTGGGAATCTCCTCGCCCAAGCAGGGGAGGCAGCAATGAGGGCATGTGCTGGGCCGTTCCAAGATGTGCCAAGTCCTCTGAGGACGGTAATAGGCCTTGGCAAGGCGCTTCGAGCGAAAGCTGCCTGCAATGCAGTTGAAGGCTGGGGGCCTGCTTTGGATCAATCTCCTTCGCTGGCGTTGTGTCCTTTGCACACATCTTTACTATCACACTGTCAGATTCTGCTTTGACAACCTTGACAACTTTGACAGCTTGAAGGATGTGCCCGTCCTTCAGCACTTGCTGTAGAAGAGAAGGCAGCGGCTTCGACTCAGGATACTGAGCCTAAGTGTTCGCCGTGCGTCAGCAGAACTTCAACTCGGCCGTGGAGCCGATACACAACAAAGATATATAAAGATCAACAGAGATCAACAAAGCCCAGTGGCGTAGCGTTGTCTGTAAACTTCGGGAACCTGCACGTGTGATGCATCAAAAACATGGTTTGGTGATGTTTGGGGTTCTTCTTTCCTTCCGGGAAAAAAACACACTCGCGAAGCGAAAGCTTGAACTTTGCCCTACTAAGGCGCATCCCCATTCCCCTGGACAGAATCGATCCGGTTCCTTCGAAGCGCTTACACTGCAACCCCTTCCTGCCCACTGCCCAAGAAACTCTGACAGGTAAGGTGCTGCATGGAACTCACTGCACCCTCGGCTGAGGGACTCGGCCCCTCTTCCAGCAAAAAGAGCCGCATTCGGCGAGGCACAGCGATCGCTGTTGTGGGTTAAGAATGTCCAAGAGTTCTTTATGGATTCCAGGAAGCTGAGACAGAGCCAATCAGCAACGTCGGCAGCCTCGATTTCATCCAAATATTCTTCCCTCTGCACAACTCCTCTCATTCTATCGACAAGGACTTGACAAGGACTGCCGAGATTTGTCATGTATGGCTACAGTCCTAGCAAGCGCAGCAGGCCATTGATTGCGCTTTGGCACATCTTGTCCACGATGCAAACTCAAGCTGCTACAACTACTGAGAACTCAATGGAGAGAGTCCAAATATCGAAGCACTGCAAGTTTGCATTCTCCTTGATTCTAGCAGCTCTAAAACGCCAAAGAAATGCAAAATCATGCAACTCTTGAAATTTGAATCAACCATTGAGCCGAGAGCTGCCGTGCCGTGCCATGCTGTGCCTGAAGACCTTGTGTGGAGTCCCACGTGACCCTGCCAAGCGTTGCCCAGTCCCATCGTTCTCTAAAAACTTCCAGGGATCAAGTGGTTTCAACACATGTGCACTCTTTAAGCAGGAACATGTCACACTTGAGTGACTTGAGTGACCTAATATAGCACTAGGGCATTCTAGCACGCATGCTCCCGATCCTCAAAGACGCCCTGGTGGCTGCCTGGCCTCGTTGCTTCTGCAGCAAATCAAATTCTAGATTGGGGTGCTACTTCCCAGGACTCCAACAAGAGAAGGGTTTCCATGGACTTCTCGACAGGCAGTGGGGCTAGCGAAGCCTTTCCTTTCATCTGAGCAATGCTGAGCACTATGTGCCAAACACCTTGTGAGTACTGACTAATGACTAGCCACTAGTGCCTTACAGCCATTCGAAGCACTCGAGGCCATGCCTGCTTGGCTGGCAAGCGTCAGAGTTGGAACAGCTGCCTTCGCAATGCAAAAATAGAGAGTGGTGTCTTTACAACTTCACTCGGCATGCTGTCGAGGACCTTCAAGAGCAAAGCTCCTGCCGGCGGTCGGTCTGCAAGATAGCTGACGGCCTGGCAGGTTTGGGGTTTTGCGCATAATGCCCTGCGCTCCCCCTTTCAGGGATTAGGCCATTTGCCTTTTTAAT